GGAATGTCGTGCCAGTCATCAGCAAAGCATCCGTGAACATGCGGTCGCTAACACCAAGGGCCTTGATGATGTTCTTCTTGGAGATCGCTGAGAATTTTCCAGCATCCCAGTCGATGAAGCGGATGACGTGATCTTTGATGGGGTACAGCAGGAGCTCTTGGGATCCCATGATAGCAGCGCATTGCTCTGACTCTATCATATCGAGATACGCAATCTTCCTCATCGTCAACGGAAGTGTACATCGCAAAAGATTACTGGGCTACTTACCTGGGCTGAGGCATTGAACGGCGGGACCAGGAAGTGGAGGCCACGGCTCCTGAGAATGCTCTGGAGGAGAGGAAACAAGTTCTGGACGAGGTAAGCACCGCGGTGGGCGCCGAAAGCCGCGACAGCCTCGTTGGCCTGGCTCTGGAAGTATAGACCCCAAGCCTCATCGGTGCCTGTGATGGCCTGCTTGCCGCGTTGTACCGAGACCTCATCCTGTCCTACGACCGACTGGCCATTAAAGACGAACAGGGGTATCGTCTTGTTCTGCTTCCAGCTGTCGAGATCGGACTCGATGTGTGTTTGAATGCCAGTGAGACCGCCGAGCGCGGGCAAGAGAGGCTCGTGGAAGGGTGCGTTGTCGAGAAATAGCTGGAGGTAGAATGCAGCGTCGACAGCAATGGCACAGTCTTCCAGCTGACTCACGTCCGCATGTCTGCAAGATTGTCAGTCCTTCTTGTCGTGAAATATGAGAGTCGCATGGGGGGCGGAAAGGCTTACTGGACCTGCTCGTTGATCCAGTGATCCTCGATGGGAGCTGTAGAGAGCCTCATTAGTGCCCACAACGTTCAGATACCATAATATCGAGGCCTTGCATTGTCGCACAGCCTCGCAGCAGCGACTGATAGCTGTGTGCATAGGCTTGTGCACAACCAGGACGGGCCAGAGGGACTCACCCGGCATGTTGACCAAAATCAATCGACTGTCGTGTCTTGAAGCTGAAGTGGAGCCCGCAGGGGAAGGGGCGAGGTCGCAAGGACGAGAGGGGAGATTTGTCGGTACAGATGTCGATGCTCGCTATGGAGTCGGAAGTGGATGCGCAGAGAGGCGGTCGGGCTCAAGGTCGAGGCTCTGTCACGCGAGGTACACGAGAGCTGTCGGTGGCGTGCCGACCAAAGACGAAGATGAGGCCCGAGGAGGGCGCTGGTTGCAGTGGGGTCGCTTTGCAAGAGCAAACAACGAGCCGGCGCACGGGAGACCCAGCTCGTGTGGCAATTGGTCGGGTCGGTGTTGGTCGTGGGAGAGACGGCGTGCGCGTGCGACGACGCAGATGTCGTGAGAGGCGGGTGGTTGACGGGTCAAACGACACAGGTTGATCTGGAGCTCAAGCGCTCGGTGCCTTTGAATTGTTGCTCCCAGCTTGTCGCAAGACCTGGAAAGCTCCAGTGCCTGCCGCTAGGCCCGAACGGGGGATGTGCCTTCAAGTATATTCTACCTTGGACCGCCAGCGGAGAGCGCTGATCGGACCACTGTTTGGCACAAGTCCTCGGTACGGGCGGGCTCTTACCCCTGGGACACCCGGCGACCCCTGCTGCTTCCGCCTGTTAGACCCCTCCAACGCGTGAGCTCCCTCCCGCACACATGCCCCGCATGGCACTAAATGATCCTCCGCAAGCAATTGTTCACGTAGTCGAGCTGAAGCTCAGTTGTGGCTCTCTTGGTCGTCGAGGATGCTGAACAGAGAGACTAGCGTCCACTGTTTTCCACCTCGCTGTGACGCTGGATCGAGAAGCTGTGGCCTAGAAACATATCACATGTCATCGTCAGTGAGTCCTGCTGAGGCCCAGACAACTCCATCTTGTGGGGACGTAGGCTGGGTGCCCCAATATCTTATCGAGGACCAGAGCGATTCAGCTCCGGCTCCAGGCTGAAGACGTCGTTCTTTTCATGCATAACGATCCACCGGACAGCCCTCTGAGTGTACAACTTGAACAAGTAGAATTAAGACAGCGAGCTGAAGCACTCTGAGCTGTCACCATGGCAGTCAACGCGCAGATCCCCATCATCGACATCTCGGTCGATGGCGCCGACCAGGTTGACGTTGCCAGGCGCCTTGTCGATGCTGCAGCCGAGCATGGCTTCATCTACATCAGGAACACCGGCCAGGATATCTCCGCTGACAGGATCCAAAGGGCTTTCGAGCTGGTGAGCCACTGACGATCCGGCCTAACGAGGAACTCCCCGTTGCTGATAAACCCTGTTCCAATCAGGCCAGGACATTGTTCGCATCGCCCGTCGAGGACAAGCAGCGGTGCAGCATACAAAAGAACAACCAGGGCTGGTCAGGCATGCACTCCGAGACCCTGGACCCCAAGTCGCAGCGTGTAAGTCAAGTGCATCGTCTCTCCGGCAGTCCAGAAAACATGCTGACGAACCAAACACAAGGTCGGCGACTTTAAAGAGTTCGTATATCCCTTCATAACTTCACGATGACCCCATCTGATAGCGAGCAGGGCCTTCAACTTTGGGTCTTTCAAGGACGGCCGTGCGACGCAGCCAGTGCCAGCATCGATGGACGCGCATCAAGAAGAGCTGGCTGCATTCCGAAATGCATGCCACACACTGTGCCGCAAGCTTCTGCTCTTGTTCGGCATTGGCCTAGAGGTAGGACTGCCAGGACATGCTTCATTCATGCAAGAGGGCCTTTTGTGACTGACATTGCGATAAGGTCTCGCCTCCGGACTTCTTCACGTCCGCACACAACCCGGACGCCGAGTCCGGGACGATCCTGAGATTTCTGCGCTACCCTCCGCCCACCGAGACCCCCGATGCACAGGCCGATGATGTGCGCGCGGGAGCACACTCCGACTACGGCTCGGTAACGCTTCTCTTCCGAATCCCTGGCCAAGCGGGTCTCGAGGTCCTCACGCCGTCAAACACCTGGGCTCCTGTCCCAGTGACACCCCAGGGTACCGAGAACGACCCCTCGCCCCCGATCCTTGTCAACATCGGCGACTTGCTATCGTACTGGACCAACGGCCTGCTCCGGAGCACCGTCCATCGCGTGTCATTCTCGCCAGGCCAGGCGGCGACAGGCGAGTCCAGCGTCGACCCGCGCTATACGCTAGTCTTCTTCTGCCACCCGGCGCATGACACGCCGCTGGTCCCTGTGCCGAGCGAGCGCGTACGCAGCTTTGCGGGCGTATCTAGCCAGGCCAAGGAGGGCAACCCGTACGCGGAGCGCAAGGTGGTGACGGCAGCCGAGCATCTGCAGATGAGGCTGCAGGCGTCGTATGCGGATCTGTATAAGGATAATGCAGCGTAAAACGCAATCTTGACCAGTAACCAGAGCAGTCCGAAGTTATTGCGAGGAATATCTCTTGAACGTGGCGAAGAAGAAACTATCCTGCTCCCCATGCGTCGCCGTCGTTATATGATTCCCCTAAATGACATCTGATATACATGGTATCGTACAAACAGCATACACAACACCACAGCATTGAACGCTCACCACGAACATTCTCACTTCCTCTTCTCCGCCTCCACCTCCTGCTTCTTCTCCTGCTCCTCCCTCGCGGCAAGCACCTCGGCGCGCTTCTGCTTCCCGCTGCTCCGCACGTCGGAGATGTGGTCCACGATGAGGCCCCAGATGCCGCCGCCGCCCTCCTGCAGCGCGGCCTTCTCCCGCTGCGCGCGCCTCTCCTTCCAGTCCTCCTCGGCATCGCCCATCCAGATCGCCTCGAGCGAGCCCTTAGCGCCGTCCTTGCCCCCCTCCTGCCCCCCGGATCCGCCCTTCTGCCCATCAGCACCGACCCCGCGCCCCGCGGCCGCGAGCCTGGCCTCGTCCCTCGCCACCGCGGCCCGCCTCTCGCGCTCCTGCCTCATCAGCATCTGCGTGCGCTGCGCCTTCTCGGGCAGCTCCGAGCCCGGGACCAGCCCCTCCATCCGCGCCCCGAACTTCTGCACCGACGACTGGCCCGTGTAGTCGTACACGAGCTGGTTCGTGCCCCAGAGCGCCACGCCGCCGAGGATGATGAGCCGCAGGTCGAAGCGCCGCGGTGGGAGGAACATGGCGCCCATCGCGAGTGGGGTCACGCCGAGCGCGACGTTGTGCAAGATCCGGTTCTCCGCGGCCGCGAGGTCCTCTGGTGGCGCGGAGGGCGCGGTGGGATTTGTTGGTGGTGACATCTTGCTACGGTGTGTGTGTGTGTGTGTGTGTAGAGGTCTGTTTCTTGGTGAGAGATGGTCCGTTGGTGCCGGACGGGTGGTCGTCGTCGTTCTGTCACAAGCTTGGTCGTTCGCTTCGAGATTGCTGCCCTGGTGGGTGGGCGTCCAGAGGACTTGCTCACGTGCGGCAGTGTATCACTGGGTTTTCGAGACTCCGACCCTGAGCTCTGCCGTTTGGCGATTCGTGTTGAGTGATGCGGTGCTGGTTCTGGAGCGGAGCCAGGCGAGAGAGGTGTGTGATGCAATCGCATGGAGCACTGCGTAGTGCCGTCAATGACTGCTCAGGTGAGCGGAGCTAAACTTTTTTGCAGGGGTTCAGGACTGCGGGGACCCAGCGGCAGCAGCAGAGGCCAAACACCTGGACAGGGCCGTTCGTGTAAGTCGTGATTCACCTTGGGCCAAGTACGATTTCGAGCAAATCAACAGAGGCACGTGACCCATCACTGTTGCAACTCGCCGAGTTGCTTGTGTTGTATCCTCGTCTCTCGAACTCTAGTATCTCACACATTGAGGCTTTGGGCCGACGTCCCAACGTAGCCAGAGGACAGACAATCTTCCGCCGAGCAGAAACTCGGCATACGACTGACCTTACCGTGCCGATAGCGTGCAAATTGTCCAGACAACAACAAAAACAAGAAAAAGCGGCAGGTGAAATCCTAGGAACAAACAAACCATCGCCGGCGTTCCTCAATCATCAATCGCCAAACACGTCGAACCCACTATCGCCAATGATAGGAAGAACTAAGCAAAAAGAGAAAAAGAGAAAGGTTACTCAATGCGCTTAGTCGCGACAAAGACAGGACTCGAACCTGCGCGACCGAAGTCATCAGCTTACGTATTAAGCTGATCGGCTTATGAGGCAGATCAGCTTTTTCGAGGCTGACCCATTAACCACTCTGGCACTTTGCCCAATTGTTGGAAGGACGTGAGCTTATACTAATATCTATCCACCTGACACTAGAGCACCCAGTCGTCGGCGATTCTTCGCCTCTCCCTCGAGGACACTTGACTACAGGATGCCTTTCCTTTTCTCCCATTTGGCGGGTATACATGAGGAATTTTCTTACCACGGATACAGGGTTTACCCTTGACTGTTCGGAGTACCTGAAAGCCTAGTGCTGATTTTGCTTTGTTTTTTGCGTGACGATCCAGGTGTGCTCGGAGAGTTCGAAAAGATGCGGTCCTTGCCGCAAGGGCTTTCGGTACATTCCCGTGCAGGTTACTCTTTTGAGGTGGGGGTAGATGTCGTCCTGCCACAGAGCATCTCGCACGAAAAACATTCCAATCATCATAGCGTCTGTATGATGCTACTCTCTTCGTGCAATGTTTTCCCCTCAGGTGTAGCGGCGTGCGGTCATCTTTCTTCCTGCTTCCAAACGAACGAAACGACAAGATTCGGTGTCTAGCTTAATACATGATCAACACAAACTCAGACCTTCTTGTCTCTACGTATAAGTTTCTGTTTTAGAGAAAGAGTCCTGAACCTTATGATTATAACTATATGCCCTATCGTGACAGGATTGGAACAAAGAGAATGGGGAGTACCCTATATGTACGCAAAATCGACCTTGTCGAGAATCGCAACCTCGCCTCCTCAACCTCCACAAAAGACATCGAAACTCCGAAACTTAATCAAGCCGGCCGTAATGCGAACCCGCTAAGAACCGCTACACCATGCAAGAAACCGCCCATTACGTGAGTCTAGGCCACACTATTCACTGCCCGGGATGCCTGACTGGCAAGTCCCCCCTCTCCTCACGGTCCCTGCGGCATCGGTGGTAGCGCAGCCTTGAGACGAGCATGGTTCGCCGCGGCCCGCTGGTGCGCCGCCGCGCTGTGGCCATTGCTGCTACCATTAGTAGCAGTGGGGAAAGACATGTCCACCGCCGCCGACCTCCCGTGGTGCAAGCTCCCCTGCGCACTGTTGCTGACCATCGATGCGGCCGCGGACGAGGCGGCCTGCTGTTGGTATTGGTGCCGTGCCGGCTGCCGTCTCCCCGTGAGATGCTGTCTCAGATCGCCCTGCGATGGCTGCTGCTCCTGCTGTGCGTGACGAGGCTGGGCGAGCTGCGCGTCGAGGAAGCTTCCGCCTCCCAGACTGATGTCGTCCATGTCTGGCGTCTCGTCTCCGCGCCGGTGGTACCCGCGCTGAGATTGTGCCTGGCCGTGAGATGATCGTGGTGGTTGCACCCCGCCGTGGCCACCGTTCGAAATCGACTGCCGCTCAAGGTCATGCTGATCCTGATGCCCGTTGTGGCCGATTTGCCTGGTCACCGGCGGCGCCTCGCGCGGCCGGCGCACACTCGCCTCGGCTTCGTCCTCGACAAGCACCACCATCCACACTCCCACCGCGCCGTTGCCGCCGATCAGCGGCGTGCAGTGGATCCAGCGGCCTTTTCCTACCGCCGCAGACTCCTTGTCGCCCTGGCTCTGCCGTTTCGAGCGGACGTCCGAGAGCCACCGCACTTTGGCCGTCACGCCGTGGCCGTCGGCGAACGCCTGCGTGAGGGCGTCCTTGACATGCCGCGAGCCGCCAATGCGGTCCATGAAGCTGCTCTGCAGCATGCCAGGGACACGCATCGTAGGGCTGGCGAACAGGATCCGCAGGTTCGGATACGGCCGCACGAGGAGGTAGTGCTCGTAGATGCCGCTGAGTCTACCACCTGTCGTCCCAGGCAGCGCCATGATCGGGTCGCTGTCCCGCCGCTGTATCGAAGCGTCGTCCCGGATGAGCAGTCTCGGCTTGTTCCAGTTCGTCAGGTTGGCGTCGTCACTACCGTCGCCTCCCTGCACGGCCTGTCTTGTGCGGTGCAGGGAGCCGCCGTGCTCGCGGACCGTCTTGAGCTCGGTCAGGTTGAACATCTCAGCCAGGTCGCGGAACTCGTCTTTGTCCGCGGTATCGGCGGCGGCAGGGATGTCTGCCCGGCTCGCGTCAAAGCCGCCCCGCTGTTCGGCTTCCCGGGCTTCCTCTCGCTGCACAAGCCGTTCCATCGACTCCAGCCCCGAGCACTCCTTCACCAGCCCTGAGACGTCGACTTGGGCGCCGATGAAGTAGCGAACATTGCCCCGACTGTCGTACAGAGGCGCGACCATGAGCAGGTTCATGAACGGCGACCCGTCTCGCCTGTAGTTGAGGAATGTCTCGCAGTGCTCCTTGCCGGCTAGGATCTTCTCCTTAAGTCGTCGTACGCTTGATGGGTTCGTCTTCGGTCCCTGGAGGAAACGACAATTCCGGCCAAGCACATAGTTCATGCCGTATTGCGTTGTGCGGTGGAATTCTGTGGCAAGCTTGTCAGTATTGCGTCCATGGTTCGGGTTGTCAAGAGGACCATCTACCTTCACTTGCGAAAATGATCGGATTGTCGGGGCGGGAAGGGTCTGTCAGGCAGAATACTTCGGCAAGACCTTCCGAGAGGTCCCTCAGATGGACAGGCAAGGTGTCAGCGATACGCCGCTTGATGGTGATGCTGACAGTGCGCACCCACGTCTGCGTGATATACGCGGGCAGGTCCTCGCGCGCGAGCAGCTCAAACGCCTGGTCTGCCTTGGCCTGTAGATCGTCGTTGACAGTTTTTTGTATCGGCTGATCAGATAGGTTGAACCCGCTGAGTGGCTGGAGGGAGCTTGTGATCGAGTTGACGTATTCCACCGCTTTCATGGCCTTCAGTGCGTCAAGATAGTATACGAGTACGGGCACGGAAGCCGGGTTGGCTGTGCACAGGAAGGTAGTGAACCGCTGGAGAAGTGTCGGGTCTTCGAAGATGACCTTGAGGTGCTCTTTCGAAAAGAGTAGCTCCGAGCGTGCCTCCAGGGAGTATTGCGTCGGCGCATTGGCCGGGACGACCAGGTCGAAAGACGCCGGGTCGATCTCTTCCTCCGCAAGTGGCTCCAGGCCATCATTGTTCCCGGCGCCCTTGGTCTGCAGAGCCGGCAGGGCAGAGTTGCCCGGTGCGAATGAAGAGATCGAGGAGGGAGCATGGGACATGTTAGACATGATGCTCTTCCGTGCGTCTGACGGGGATCTCGTTGACGCTCCCTGGTGCTGGGCCACCTCAGGCGATGCCGGACGCCTCACGTGGTGGCTGACGTAGTACGGTTCGCTTTGGGCACTATCACCATGTATTAGTGGTCCTGCCGGCAATAGATCTGCACACCTAGGGCCGGTTTTACCTCTCTGATCGCACGGGAAAGTGAGCCCTCTCGTCGGGAATGAAGCTGTCGTCCATGGCGGAGAAGTCCGGCTCAATTGGCAACTCTGTCCTGTCCAGAGACGAGTACCTCGCGGGGTAAGAGTCGACGTCGTATGTGCTGAGCTGCGAGCGACTCCTCGGCACGTCTGGTGCCTCGGCTGCTTCCCGGTCCGGCGACGGATAACCGAAATCTCTGTGATCGACAGAGTCTGTTGCCGTATGGTCGGAAAAGGCTGTGAGGGAGACACTGGCACTTGGGAGTCTAGGATGTGAGCCGGCGTCACGGGCTCGGGGGCTGGGCGTGGTCTCGCTCAAGTGCGAGAAGCTTCTTGAGAACTTGCGAAGCATGACAGCAGTTGTCTCAGAGCGGTACCCAATGGAGAAAACAATGGCAACAGACGTGCTTCTCAGCTGCCAGGAGAGACAAGGCTTGCCTCTTTAGGTGTTAGCTGTGACGGCGGGTTCTCTTTTCCTTGTCAATCACGGCAGGAACCCGAAATTGCTTTTTCTCAAGTTGTCGGAACTGCGCCGTGTTTGGCAGACTCGGTGATGAGAGCACTCGCCGGCGACCAGAAAGACGGCTGAGGGATGTCTAGTCCAGTGGAGGGAAAGGCGAGCAATCTAAGCGACTGGACCGCGACCAAGACGGCCCGGGACGTGATGGGTCTAAGTAGAGCTGGCGGCTCTGGGCAAACGCGCCTAACAAAATCTCACACGAGTAAGCACCCCATGAGGGACTCCATGACGGTTCGTGGACCGGACTGCTTGCCGATCGAGTCTTGAGCAGCCAGGGTCGCTCAGCCCAGAGGCACCAGGGCAATTTGCTGATCGGGCACCGGCTGCAGCCACTCGACGGAGCCCCGGGTCGATGCTCGAAGTTTGCTACTCAGCGGCCAGGAGAGAGAGCCACAACGGCATGAGGTCACCTGGGTCCAGGCATGATGCAATGGAGAGCGGAGGCGCTCCGGTTCGACCCCTTTGCTAGCGTGGCCGGCAGCTCCTTGGGCGGGACACTAGCCCGTGGCCGTCGATGTTGCCGTCGTGGTTCATCGGGACGAGTGGTTCTCGTGCTCTGGAGCAGCTCGCACGGCACACTAGACTGCTGCAAGATCTACGCAGCAGAAAAATCAAAAGTCCCAGGCGGGGCAGGGAGGGCCATACCAGCATTTGTGCTGCCGCAATCTCACGATGACCAGCTCGGCGGATTAGTGATTGCCGGCGGGGCGAGTCTGCCGGCGACTGTTGCCCTGATGAGCGTGATGCTGACCGTCGAGCTCGTCAAGCCTCCGCAGAGCAGCAGCGGGCCAGTGTTGACTGCGTACGATGGTGGCCGAGGGGCCCCGATCGTGAGGAGCGCCCAGACGAACCAACGAGTCGGAGAGATCGGGGAAGGCACGGAAAAGCAGCGACAGCCACGCGCAGTGGACCTGGGCTGAGCGCGCTAGTCAGGCTGGCCCGGTAGCGCGGAACCACCTCGTCGAGGAACCAGAGCTCGTCCAATCCACGGTGATGGTCCCGTGTCTCTCGGTGCTGGTGGTCGGACCTGGAGAAAGAATCAGTGCTTACTCGAGGATCCTGCTCACGCCTCCACCAGCAGTCTCCATCATCGGTGCTCACCCGAATGTGTGCGGCAAGGACACTCCCAAGAACAGATCCCGTCCCCGCGATATCATTCTCTCGGAGCCGCATCAGACCCAGGCACGAACCATCATCAATCGA